AGTTGCAACCTTGCGCTCATTCTCAATCCCATACTTCTTCCCCAGCTCCTTGATGAACTTCTCCTGGTGCAGCTTCAACCACCTGTGATCTGGATCCCTCTCCACGTGCATCCCGAGGTAGTACTTTACCTCCCCAAGGTTCTTGCACTTGAAGTTTTCCATCAGTTGCTGCTGCACTTTCTGGATCTCCTTCATGCTGCTGCTGAAGAGAAGAATGTCGTCCACATAGACCAGAAACAGCACCAGCTTCTCCCCCTCGCCCTTGAGAAAGAGGCTCTCATCACAGCTGCTGGTCCTGAATCCCATCTCCTCTAAAACAGCTGCCAACTTCTGGTACCAGCAGCGTGGCGCCTGCTTCAAGCCGTAGATGGACTTGTTGAGCTTGCACACCCTGCCCGTACCATCCTCATACCCAGGCGGCTGCGTCATGTACACATCCTCCTCTAAAATCCCATTCAGGAATGCCGTTGAAATATCCATCTGAATGATGAATTTCCCACTAACAGCTGCATCTGCCAACAAGACACGGAGGGTAGGGGGTTTGGCAGTGGGAGCAAAGATCTCGTTGAAGTCCTGCTTCTCCTTCTGCATAAACCCCTTCGCCACCAGCCTACTCTTGTAGATGGTGACCTGCCCCTTGTCATCGGTCTTGATCCTCAGCACCCACTTGCATTGTATCGCTTTCTTCCCATCAGGCAGCACCACCAGATCCCATGTCCTATTCTCCAGCAGACTCTGGTACTCAGCATCCCTAGAAGCCAGCCACTTGTCCCTATCTGGTCCAGCTAATGCCTCCTCCATGCTAGCTGGTTCCTCTGGTGCAGGGGCAAGAAAACAGTACGCAGGCTCATCCTCCTCATCCGGGTCATAGCCATGAGGTAGAATCAGCAATGCCTCTTCGGTCCCTAGCTGCTGCTCTGCTGCATCAGTTCCTGCAGTCAGCTTCTTAGTAGCCATACGGGTACGTCCTGGCCTGGAGACGGGTGTCTCCCATCCCTTCATAACGACACCCTTCGGCTTCTTAGTTTTTCCCTGCTGCTTCTCTCCTCCCTCGGGTCCAGCAGCTCCACTAGTGCTGCCGCCAGTTTCCACACCATTTTCTCCACCAGCAGATGCCTCCTGTACCTTCTCTCCATCACCATTTCCAGCAGCTGCCTCCTCTCCCTCCTCCCACATACTAGGAGTCAGGTCCAGCTGCATGGTGATCTGCTCCATCTGCTGGGACACCCTTGCCTCCGGCTGTTTCTCCCAGCTCCCATACATCATGCCCTCAATGAATTTCACATCCCTGCTGTCAAACAACACACCCTTGGATGGTTCCCACAGCAGCCATCCCTTGCTCTCAGCAGCCAGCCCCAAATGCACACACCAGATTGCACTCGCCCCCAACTTACTGCGGTAGGTCTTGGGGACGTGGGCGACTGCCATGCAACCGAACACCCTCAGCATGTCCACCGGCGGCTTCCTCCCAAGCCACCTCTCCAACGGCACCCACGAGTCATCCCCAACCTTGGTGAGCACCCTGTTTCTAGCGACGGTGGCGTGCCGGACAGCATGAGGCCACATAGAATTGCTCAGCCCAGATTCTATGAGCAGCGCCCTAGCTGTCTCCAGAATGGTCCGGTTTGCCCGTTCTGCTACACCATTGGACTGTGGGGTATAAGCCGTGGTCAGCTCTCTCTGGATGCCCTGCTTCTTGAGCCAGGCCGTCATTTCAGCTCCAAGGAACTCACCACCCCGGTCTGTCCTAATCCGCTTCACTACACACTCCGCCTGCTTCTCCACGAATGGCAGCCAATCGTCCCGTATCGTGGAGGCGGCGTGGTCCTTCTGCTTCAGCGGATACGCCCACATCAGCCTGCTCCAGTCATCCACAATTGTAAGAAAATACCGCTCCCCCTTGTGCCCTTGCACCGGCAGCGGCCCCACCAAGTCCATGTGGACCAGCTCCAAAGGCTTCTTGCTCCTGCCAGCCACACTATGGAAAGGGAAACGGGTGAACTTTGAAAGCAAACAGATTTCACAGTTGTCATCGGGTGGCTGTCCGTTCAGCTTCAGACCCTTAACGGCTCCATCCTTCTCCAGCTGCTTCAGCAAAGGCATTGCCACATGCCCTAAGCGCCGGTGTGCCGTTGCCCAATCTGTCTCCCCAGATCTGGCCGACACTTTCACACCAACCCCTCCAACGGCATTGCACTCCCCCTGGGATGCAGACCCCTCTCCAGCCTGCCCCCCACCATGCCACGCCAGGGCCGGCAGCTGCCACATAGATCTGTACACGTCCTTGCTCTCGTGCAGATCCCAAAGCACCCGATTGCCCAGCTTCCCCTTATAAGTGCGTGCCCCATCCGTGTTGGTGTTCACCCCAGCCTTGCCAAGCTTACGGAGGGAGATAAGGTTGGCCTTCAGGTCGGGGACGAAGAGAACGTCGTGCAGCACCACCGGCTTGCCATCCGCTCCCTTAAACGCAGCTCGTCCCGCACCAGCCACCTTCAACATGTGTCCAGAGGCGGAGCACACTTCATTGATCGGTGCAGCTCGTACTTCGTCCAGCAGGTCCTTGCGCGGCGTCATCGTCCAAGCAGCGCCTGTGTCCAACACCCAATAGTCTAGGGGATGCAGCTCTGCTCCAACTTTGGCAGAGGCGTCTCCTTGCTCCCCCTTGTCTCCCACATGGAAGAACTGGCCTGCGGTGCGCTCCTTCTTCTTCTCCGCACCACCGTTGCTCTTCGGGGTGTTGTCGGACGAATCAGCGACCATGTTCGCGCCGTTTTTCTGGTTCCTTCGCGCGCCACCATCCTGTTGACGATTCTGGGGGGTCCATCCATCGGGTTTCTTATAGCACAAAAACCAGGGGTGCCCTTCCTTCTCACAATACCAGCAACTCCCTTTCATTTTGCCACCAGCACCCGACTTGCCCCCACGTCCAGATTTCGCACCGCGACCCCAACCGGTACCTCCTTGTTGGTCGTTGGAGTCGTCGTCCTTCTTTGCACCGCGTCCAGCACCACCGAAGCCACGTCCTCTGCCACGTCGGCTCCCTTGCATCCCGTAGCCGCTGCTGCCGTCGTCTCCACCCCTCAGTTGGCGGCGACGGAAGTCCTCCTCCAGAATCTTCGTCCGCACCCACTCGAGCGTCCACAAGCTCTGGTTCTGCGGCAGGCTCAATCCGCTCGTAAATTGAAGCCACGATTCTGGCAGCAGCGAGAGCATCTTCAAGCACTTGGTCTGCTCCGGGTAGGTGATTCCCGCGGTCGCCAACTTCGCGTAGAGGTCGCGCATCTTGTCCAGGACTGGTTGCACCGGCTCTCCCTCGCTCAGGCGCAACGCGGACAGCTCCCTCTCCAGCATCAACGTTGCGACAACGGAGGTCGGGGCGTGCAGCTCCTTCAACACGGTCCACGCCTTCGGACCGCATTCAACCTCCGGCAGCAGGTGCATGACGTGGTGACGCTGGTTCAGCTCCAAACTCTGCGACATCAAATAGTAGCCAGCCGAGGAGCGCTCGTCCCAATCTTCCTGCAGCGTGGGGTCACTCGGTCTAGGCTCCTCCCCAATCATTAGTTTCAGCAAACCGATCTGACGGAAATATAATTGCATTTTCCAGGCCCAATCATCATAGCCCTCACCATTGAACTTCTCGACGGTGAAATTCTTCAGCACCTCCTTGACAAGCGAGCCCTGGTTTGTTCGCGCTCCCCTTGGCGCTGAAAGACCAGAATCTTGGCTGCCGCTACGATCTTGGGCTGAAGATTCACCAGCTCCCGCCGAGGTGTTGCCCGCCATAGCTACCTATAACGAGGATCACTATAACGCGGCTCTGATACCAGCTTGTTGGTGTAAGGGCCTAATAAACTCAAGCTATTAGGACTTAATCAAACTTAAAACCTCTCCTCGGGGTCACCTCCAAGGGTCCCTGGGTGCCTGGTACAAGACCAGCCCCTATCCTCGGGTCCGAGTTTGTAGAGAGAGGGATCAAGAAGGACTTAGTCAAAACAGCAAGAGTACCTTGAACGTCGCGCAGCGTGCCGTGCAGACCGTCGATCGGATTAAGCTGAGAATTCGCTATATCGAAGCTCGCTCCAAGAGCTTTAAAATGAGCCAAGTTGCCTCGCAAAAAGTTCTGCCATTACTAAGTTATGGCTCGGACAGCGTTTGCCTAGCGTTGGAGTGCTAGCGTACTAGCGTTGACTCGGGTAGCATTCCACCGTCGAATAGCGCAGAAACGAAATTCCAGCGAGGAAGGAATTCGCTTGAATCAATTTGACTATATTCAGGTACAAACAGAGAAGGATTAAATACTTCTAGCTAGCAAGGACCTTGGGAATCAACCTGGGAACAACCAGGGATGATCCCAAATAATTCCAAGCAACAGAACCAACCTGGCTGGACAAAATAGCAAGTGGTAGGTTGGTAAACAACCTCTGGTTCTGTTTTTCCAACCTGGGAAAACAACAACCAGGTTCAGGTTCTAAAAACAGAACCTGTTTTGTCTTTGCCTAACCAGCCAAATGCTGGTTCCGCTGGTTTCCCCTGGCCTTGTAGCATGCAGATACAGACAAACAACATCCAACCTTCACCTAAATTGTACTCCTATAGTGCCTTCCCTGCTACACTATAGTTAACCAAACAAAACAGTACAATTTCGAGTTGGATAGAACTGAATCTGCGCAATCAACTCAACCGAACTGCAAAGCTTCCATCTTGGGTTCCTTTGCGAGCTCGTCCTTTCTGCTTGCACTGTTCATAGCGCGTACAATGTTGTGCCGAAGCGCACATTGCGCGAGTACCTGCAAATGCATCAAGCGAAAATTGCGAAAGCAAACAAACACACGAACATTCCATTCACACCCAAATGCATTCGCACACGCATACTTGTACAAACAGACGGCAGGATGTCGTGCAATGTGCATTTGCACCCAACACATACTCGTACAAACAGACGGCAGGATGTCGTGCAATGTGCATTTGCACCCAACAACACACACACACACACACACTCACACACACACGCATGCACATACACACATATATACACACATACACACACACACACACACACACACATGCACACACACACACACACACACACACGCACGCACACACACACACACACGCGCGCGCGCGCACACACACACACACATACATGTACATAAGAACACAGCTGGAAACGTGCGTCTAAGGGACAGGAGTAATTAGGACAAAGAATGGCAAATGCATGAGATGGCGAGAAAGACCAGTGTCGAGTAGGTGAGCAACAGAAAGCCCTGCAACACAGCAGCAGTGAAGATCGTGCTGAGATTAGTTTGAGAAAGTTCGAAGTCCTTCAACAGGTGGGGCGATGGACGAACGTGTGGGGCTGGCTGTGCAGCAAGCTTCGACCCTGCGTCCATGATCCTACACAGACTGTTGGAGTCACATCATCAGCACTTAGTACCAGAGAGAAAAGGTACTGAAAAAAACATTGCAGGCTCGATAAGCTTGGGTGCATGAGAGTTGCAGCACTTGTTTTCTTCCTTGAAAGAGGCTGTGGGCATGAGGTGCACTCACAACTCCTTGAGAGAGGCCGAGGGCAGGATAGGAGCCACAAAGGAGTCGAGGCGCTGGTTGAAGAGGTTGGACGACAGGTAGCTGTGGATGGGGGGGAGTCACGGAAAAAACGAGAAGCATTGGTGAAAAGTGTGGGATGGAGGGACATTGGTTGAATGCTTAAATGAATATGCATGCTGTATGTGCAGGGAGGCATTTGGGTTAAGGCTGTGATAAGGAATACGGGTAAGATGATGAGTGCACTGCGGGTGCAAACAATATCCTATCTGCCCGCACATAGAAAATCGTGTACTGTCACCTGTGCAACAGCCCATTTGAGCATATTTGAAACACTTTTAGCTCGTATTACGAACCCTAAGGACTGAGAGAGCGGTGAGAGTGGTGAGACTAGGATGCTTGTGCCCACAGAGGCATTTTCTTTGACTCAAAAACTGAACGCTCGAGTCAAGTATAGTCACCCCAAGGCCTTACAAAGCGCAGTGAGTGTGGTGAGCTTGGAGATGTCGGCGTGCACGGTGCCTCGCAGCAGGCAACTCCAAAGATCCCGGCCCTCCAGGCAGAGGGGGGCGTGCGGTGCAGACACCAGGGGCAGAGGGAGTAGCAGAGGCAGCAGGGGCAGAAGGAAAACAGGGAGCAGCAGGGGAAGACAGAGTGGTGGTTCCTAGTCAGGCATGATTACAGGGGTTGACTATACGTGGTGAGTTCACCCACTGAAGGAAAGAGGAATCAGCAGAGCATATCATTTTTGGGGGCCTGGATTTATGGGCAGGGTGTAGCAGTGCGAGGAGAGGAGCACCAGCACACACAGGCCAACGAGCATGGAGGAATGCAGCACCTGAGCCGGGTGATTCAGGAGAGCAGGGCAGCACTCACAGGCCCACGACAATGCCAGCAGAAGAGCAGAACTAGCCCGGCTAGGAGCCAGGCACGGGCGTGTGGCCTTGAATCGTGCACAGGCCGCCTGCGCTGAAGGCGGGGCACCAGCAGCACCCTCTCCCTGCCCGCTTCACCTTTGCACCCTCTCCCTGCCCGGAGATAACTACTACAACGGGAGCTAGACTACGGGATAGGCCGGTGCTCGTGTGATCTTTGCGTTCCTTGTTCCTTATCGTTTTCCTAGTGCACATACAGCTGCTAGTTCACAAGGAGAATTGGCAAGAGTTTCACTAGAGAAAGTTGACAACAATGATACAATGAAGTGTTGGTGTAAGGGCCTAATAAACTCAAGCTATTAGGACTTAATCAAACTTAAAACCTCTCCTCGGGGTCACCTCCAAGGGTCCCTGGGTGCCTGGTACAAGACCAGCCCCTATCCTCGGGTCCGAGTTTGTAGAGAGAGGGATCAAGAAGGACTTAGTCAAAACAGCAAGAGTACCTTGAACGTCGTGCAGCGTGCCGTGCAGACCGTCGATCGGATTAAGCTGAGAATTCGCTATATCGAAGATCGCTCCAAGAGCTTTAAAATGAGTCAAGTTGCCTCGCGAAAAGTTCTGCCATTACTAAATTATGGCTCGGACAGCGTTTGCCTAGCGTTGGAGTGCTAGCATACTAGCGTTGACTCGGTAGCATTCCGCCGTCGAATAGCGCAGAAACGAAATTCCAGCGAGGAAGGAATTCGCTTGAATCAATTTGACTATATTCAGGTACAAACAGAGAAGGATTAAATACTTCTAGCTAGCAAGGACCTTGGGAATCAACCTGGGAACAACCAGGGATGATCCCAAATAATTCCAAGCAACAGAACCAACCTGGCTGGACAAAATAGCAGGTGGTAGGTTGGTAAACAACCTCTGGTTCTGTTTTTCCAACCTGGGAAAACAACAACCAGGTTCAGGTTCTAAAAACAGAACCTGTTTTGTCTTTGCCCAACCAGCCAAATGCTGGTTCCGCTGGTTTCCCCTGGCCTTGTAGCATGCAGATACAGACAAACAACATCCAACCTTCACCTAAATTGTACCCCTATAGTGCCTTCCCTGCTACACTATAGTTAACCAAACAAAACAGTACAATTTCGAGTTGGATAGAACTGAATCTGCGCAATCAACTCAACCGAACTGCAAAGCTTCCATCTTGGGTTCCTTTGCGAGCTCGTCCTTTCTGCTTGCACTGTTCATAGCGCATACAATGTTGTGCCGAAGCGCACATTGCGCGAGTACCTGCAAATGCATCAAGCGAAAAATGCGAAAGCAAACAAACACACGAACACACCATTCACACACAAATGCATTCGCACACGCATACTCGTACAAACAGACGGCAGGATGTCGTGCAATGTGCATTTGCACCCAACACACTCCCCCTCAGCCTGCCGGCTGCATCCCCGTCATTCCATGCTAGTTCATGCTCATTCCACTCATGCGCACACAACGCCAATGAGGCTCATCCGCAAGCCTCTTGGTGAGAAAGTCTGCTGGCTGCTGGTGAGTCTTGATGTAGATCGGATGCACCGTCCCCCTCTTCACCTCCTTACCGCAGCAGTGCCACTTGATACGCATGTGCTTGTTCAGCCCATGAAGCACAGCGTTTCTGGCCATCCCAAGAGCCCCCTTGCTATCACAAAACAGCGGCGTAGCAACTTTCTGCTCCTGGCCAATCTCCTCTAACAGCCTCCTCAGCCAAATCACCTCCTTCACCCATGGAACATCGCCATGTACTCTGATTCTACGGAAGAGAGTGCCGTCTCCGTCTGCTTCTTGGACCTCCAACTAACAGGTCCTCCCCCAACTACGCAGATGTATCTTCCCACAGATGAGGAATCCTCCTTCTCAGAAGCCCACGTAGCATCGGTAAAGCAAGTGAGAAATAGCTTGCCTTCTCCAAGCCTCTCCCCCTTCTTTTCAGCAACACTCCACCCATTTCTGCTTCACCTGTGCAGAGATGCGGAGTATTGAACTCCAATGCTTGGATGAGAGTTCAGGTACTTCACCACACGCTCAGCTGCATCCACCTGCTCTTCTGATGGATTCTGCACCACCCTAGCCAGCTGCCCAACCGAGAAAGAGATGTCGGGCCTCGTGTGAACTGCTGCGTACAAGAGGCTGCCCACCAAGGACTGAAATTGCTGCTGCTCTTCAGCTTCAACCCCTTCATCCTCTGCAGCCTTCACAAGCTTGAATTCTGCTGGCAGGGGAGTTGCAACCTTGCGCTCATTCTCAATCCCATACTTCTCCTCCAGCTCCTTGATGAACTTCTCCTGGTGCAGCTTCAACCACCTGTGATCTGGATCCCTCTCCACGTGCATCCCGAGGTAGTACTTTACCTCCCCAAGGTTCTTGCACTTGAAGTTCTCCATCAGCTGCTGCTGCACTTTCTGGATCTCCTTCATGCTGCTGCTGAAGAGAAGAATGTCGTCCACATAGACCAGAAACAGCACCAGCTTCTCCCCTTCGCCCTTGAGAAAGAGGCTCTCATCACAGCTGCTGGTCCTGAATCCCATCTCCTCTAAAACAGCTGCCAACTTCTGATCTACCAGAGCGTGGCGCATGCTTCAAGCCGTAGATGGACTTGTTGAGCTTGCACACCCTGCCTGTACCATCCTCATACCCAGGCGGCTGCGTCATGTACACATCCTCCTCTAAAATCCCATTCAGGAATGCCGTTGAAATATCCATCTGAATGATGAATTTCCCACTAACAGCTGCATCTGCCAACAAGACACGGAGGGTAGGGGGTTTGGCAGTGGGAGCAAAGATCTCGTTGAAGTCCTGCTTCTCCTTCTGCATAAACCCCTTCGCCACCAGCCTACTTCTCTGTAGATGGTGACCTGCCCCTTGTCATCGGTCTTGATCCTCAGCACCCACTTGCATTGTATCGCTTTCTTCCCATCAGGCAGCACCACCAGATCCCATGTCCTATTCTCCAGCAGACTCTGGTACTCAGCATCCCTAGAAGCCAGCCACTTGTCCCTATCTGGTCCAGCTAATGCCTCCTCCATGCTAGCTGGTTCCTCTGGTGCAGGGGCAAGAAAACAGTACGCAGGCTCATCCTCCTCATCCGGGTCATAGCCATGAGGTAGAATCAGCAATGCCTCTTCGGTCCCTAGCTGCTGCTCTGCTGCATCAGTTCCTGCAGTCAGCTTCTTAGTAGCCATACGGGTACGTCCTGGCCTGGAGACGGGTGTCTCCCATCCCTTCATAACGACACCCTTCGGCTTCTTAGTTTTTCCCTGCTGCTTCTCTCCTCCCTCGGGTCCAGCAGCTCCACTAGTGCTGCCGCTAGTTTCCACACCATTTTCTCCACCAGCAGATGCCTCCTGTACCTTCTCTCCATCACCATTTCCAGCAGCTGCCTCCTCTCCCTCCTCCCACACACTAGGAGTCAGGTCCAGCTGCATGGTGATCTGCTCCATCTGCTGGGACACCCTTGCCTCCGGCTGTTTCTCCCAGCTCCCATACATCATGCCCTCAATGAATTTCACATCCCTGCTGTCAAACAACACACCCTTGGATGGTTCACCGCAGCCATCCCTTGCTCTCAGCAGCTAGCCCCAAATGCACACACCAGATTGCACTCGCCCCCAACTTACTGCGGTAGGTCTTGGGGACGTGGGCGACTGCCATGCAACCGAACACCCTCAGCATGTCCACCGGCGGCTTCCTCCCAAGCCACCTCTCCAACGGCACCCACGAGTCATCCCCAACCTTGGTGAGCACCCTGTTCCTAGCGACAGTGGCGTGCCGGACAGCATGAGGCCACATAGAATTGCTCAGCCCAGATTCTATGAGCAGCGCCCTAGCTGTCTCCAGAATGGTCCGGTTTGCCCGTTCTGCTACACCATTGGACTGTGGGGTATAAGCCGTGGTCAGCTCTCTCTGGATGCCCTGCTTCTTGAGCCAGGCCGTCATTTCAGCTCCAAGGAACTCACCACCCCGGTCTGTCCTAATCCGCTTCACTACACACTCCGCCTGCTTCTCCACGAATGGCAGCCAATCGTCCCGTATCGTGGAGGCGGCGTGGTCCTTCTGCTTCAGCGGATACGCCCACATCA